AGGCACGAAGATGAAGGCCCAGGAATGGGGTTGCCAGTTAAAAAAAAGGATGCCTGGTTAAATTTGAATCTCAGATAAAACAAATTTTTTTAGTATGTCTGTTGTAGCCTCGTCTCCTGTCATGGTCACCCCTAGAAAAGGATGAGCCCCCGATCCCAAATTTGGTTCAGAAGTTGAGTCTGTTGATGTCATAATACAGGTACCAAGAGAATATGAAAAGTTTATGACTCACATAATGAGAGTTTTGGGGGACATCAGGGAGCAGGCTCCCTAGCAGATCCAAAAATAACTTGAGAGAGCAGGGAGGGGCCACTACCTTGGGGTTTTGTGGTGGTGGGGGCTGGGCTTGCGTGGTTTGAACTTCAGCTGGTACCCTAGGAGGCAGCAGCCTTTTTTAACAGTTGACTCAAGTGTGGGCAGAAGGGAAAGGGCGGTGATGGGGCTTGAAAACTGTCATCAGTCAAACATCAAAAAATGAAGTCAGGCTGTTACAGTAAGTATGTTCCAAAGATTACATGGACAGATTTATACAGAATTTGTTATTTGTCTGAAATTCACATTCAACTGGGCTTTTTGTTGTTGTCGTTAATCTGGCAGCCTTATCTATAGAGCAGAAAGATAAAAAAGCCTGGTGCCCTCTGGCGCTGCTGAGCCAATGCACCATCTCTGAATGGTCCACTTCCAGACCCCTTGTTCTGAGACAAACGAATCCCTGTATCTTTCAGCCAGTATCAGTCAGATGTTCAATTGCCTGAAGCAGAGCCCGTCCCTAAAGGATACATCTCTGCTGACTCTGCTGTCACCAGATTATGTTCAAAGATTGTTGAAATCTGAGAAATTGAAAACAGCCACAACCTCAGAATGTGCGTATATTTCAGCACTTAAAAAAAAACATGAACAACTTTGCAGTTGGGATGTGACTTTTACGGGGGAGGGAGGTATTAGATCTGTTGTTCTCAACCCTGACAGCATATTAACATCACCTGGGGAAGCTTCTAACAAGTATTGTTGCTCAACCCCACCCCGCTCAGATGTTCTCTTTAATTGGTCCGGGGTGGGGATCAGGCACAGTCCTTTAAAAAAGCCTTCTCAGGTGAAAGAGTTGCCTGTAGATGTAACCAGTGTCCATGTTCTTATCCCATCCCGGAAAGAATTCAGAGACAAGGCAAGAAGAAAGTAAAGTGGGGATGTATTAAGGGATGGATAGTACACTCTCAAGGGGAGAGTGGGCAGGCTCAGGTGAGCGGCGGCCCCGAGTTTCTTTGGCAAGTTGGTTACATAGGGTGTGAAAATGAATGGGCGGAACATTCACTGGGGAGGGAAGGGTTTGGGGTTGTATTCCTTGATTTTCATCCCAACTCCACCTTCTCCAAGGGAGGAGGGATTTTTGTCCTTATTTTGTCTGGATGGGAAGTGTCATGGCATCAGTGCATTATGGCTACTTCTAATCTGCAAGACTAATTTTATTGAAATGAGGGCATAACGATCAAAAAGTTACATTTGGACAGTGGAGATTCCTGCCTTTTCCCACCTTTCTTTGTTGGTCTCTAGGCCTCTTGTCACCCCAAAAGTTGTGACCACTTAGCCCAGAGGTTCCTGCTTTTCTTTCTCTGCCCTGGGACCCCTGGTGATTACATGATGTATAGTTTCCTGCATTTGGCCTGTGCCCCTCCTTTCTGCCCAGCTCCTGCCATTTGACCTCTGCCCTCCTTTCTCTGCTCATATCCAGCTCCGTGCTTGTTCTAACAAAAGTAGTGTAAAGTCAGGGCTAAAAATCATTGCACTAGATAAAACACTCTGTGTGCAGAGATGTATTTATTCTGGGCCAAGGCTTCTCATTAAAAAGGTGGAACAAAGGGAGAAACATGTCTCATCAGTACCTGACGAGTAACAGCTGTTCAGCAGGCGGTCCCTTACCAAGCCAGCCTGCCTGCCAGTTCCCTGAGTCAGCCACCAGCGTGGCTAGGGAATCGAAGCTAAGGAGAGTGGAGGGAAGGCAGTGCCTTTTTACAAAGAGCCAGAAATCCAAAGGCAGGGAGTTTGCAGCTTCTCCTCACTTGATGGCTGTACTACCAGGTCTCTGGGGAAGATAGTAAAGGTGCCAAGAAATTGGCAGAGAATTCTACTCTCTCTGTCCCGTTGGGGGTACCACACGGCATGCAGAATTCCATGAAACCTCAGGAGAGAGCCATTAGATTTAGAAATAATTCTATAAATAATTCTGTTACGTGGAGTCTGCTGGTTGACTGGGGGAAAATGTAAGTCAGATGGTTTACTAGTGACTTTGAAAGTAAGCCTCTTTTTCTGATCAGCTTGGGAACCAGATTGGACGTGTTTCTGTTCAGCTGTGTGTTTTAGACCTCAACCTTCATGCCTCATTGCCCGTTCTGAAGTCACCACCTTTCAGAGACACTGGACACACAAATGTGTTTGGCGGAGGCGTTTAACCTTCATTCGGTTGAACCGTAAATTATCCCTATGTTGTGAAAGTAGAACTTGTGCTCCTGCTGTGCAGACCGGCTCCATCCAGCCCCAGCTACTCCACACTGGGCAGCAGAACAATAATATAATGCTTGATCTTGTTTGACCAGTTCCTCCACACTTTTTATTTTTCCCCCTGGCTGCGGGCTAGTCTCCCATCAGCAGGCACCGCCCAGTAAGAAGTGAACTGCTGTGTATAACCTGAATTGCCTTGAATTCCTTCAGTCTGCCTGATTCTAAACCAGTTTGGTTCTCACAGTGAAACCACATTGTGATGCCACCGATATTGGTCCTCCTTTTTGCCCAGGTGAACTCAGTCCCACAGCCTCCCTTTTGGTGAGTGTCTGTCTGTCTCAGTCCTTGCTGAAAAAACTGAATCCCTGACTCACTTAAGTTTGCACCCTGCGATCCTGCGATCCCAGACTCTCAAAGCCTTCCCCCGCTTTTTTTTTCTGTGCATGCAAGGTTACTCAGGAGGAATTAAATTCAAATAAGGTAACAAGGGTAAATAAAACCCACTTCTACCCATAAGAGTTTATTTTCTGCCTGTTTCCTGCAAGGCTTGTGGATTAACACCCGAGCCTTCCCACTTGTGGTATGAGAAAAATAGTGATCTCTTTTACTCAAATACATTTTTATTTAAACTCTTCTGGTAATATGATGAAATGTTCATAGTGAAATCAAAGGCAAAAGATAATTGAGAGAGAAGGTGACCTTCTGAGCTGCAGGGCTAGTTGTCCATTTGTGGTCTCTGAGACGATCTGTTTTATTGGGCTTGGGCTATGGGATGTCCTTGAGTTTATTTTTTAAGTGTTTGTTAGGCACAGTTAACTCAAGAAGGGGCCATATACTTTTACCCAGGATCCATCCCAGGGAAGATTAGAGACTTTATCCACAGATACTAAACAATCAGGGCCCTGTGTTTGGTTTCTGTGGTGCCTATAGAAGGCATTCACAAAGCAGCCCACAAGCCTTTGGGCCAGGCTGAGTTGCATGCTGGCAGTCAGGAGTCACTGGTGGGATCACAGAAGGCAGAGGGTGGGAGTGGATTCTGGGAACATGCTACTCAGAGCATGGCTCTTACCTCCACTACCAACCCTGTCCGTCTGCTTCCCTCCAGTCAAGTAGTGGCTGGGGACTACACGTGGCTGGGTGGAAGGGAGGACTGTGTGGTCTTGCGAGTGTCTGTGCAGAAAACTGGTGTGCGGCCTTGTCTCCCGAAGGCCGGACAAGCTTGTGAGGCTGACAGAACTTGGCTTGCAAAGATTCCTGTGTGCTCCATCCTCAGCCATAGGGGAAGCTCTACGTATGAAAACTGAAATACCTTCTAACTCAAAGCTTTTCTCCCATACTAATGATGTTTATGGAGATTCAGTTTTCTCTCAAGAAGGAAGGTTGTGATTTGTAACTGAAGGGGGACAAGCTCAGCTCTCTCAAAAAGCTTTTTTTTGTTTGTTTTTTTGCAACCAAAGCTTTCCGTTGGAAAAATAAGTTGTTTATTGTTATAGATAAAATGTAAGCCTCTAACCTAAGCCTACCTCTTAGAGACTTCCTGTCTACTGCAGCCAGGGCGCTGAAACGCTTGGTGTGTGCGAACACAGCTTGCTGGGGAGGACTGCACTTGGTTCTGGCTGCTGAGATGAGTTCCACCATGGCCTCCTTAGACGTGCCCGCACTTGGTGGAGTGGGTAGCTTGGGGCGTTGTGGGGCTTGGATTCTGGTCCTCATTCTGGCTGGCCCTGAGTAACTATGTGACTTAGCGGACTGCGTACATTTTCTGTTTCTTCATTTATAAGATGGCAGGAAAGAAAAGGGTGTGGGACACAAGTAAGAAAGAGGCCTTTTGTACCCTAGACAATTCCATACAAACATGAGTTCAGAACAAAAAGGGGGAAACTGCCAAAGTCACGGTGATGCAGTTAATACTGAAGCACAGTGTTAGTTTCATGGTTAGAAGGAAACTCACTGAGGGTTTGTAAATCCAAATTTTAATATAATGCGATGCTACCAAATATTGTTATGCTTTCTTCCTCTCTCTCTGCTATTTCAATTTGCTGAGAGTTTGTAAATTTATTTACTGGGGATTGAACCGAGGACCTCGTGCACGCTAAGTGTGCGCTCTACTACTGAGCCCTGCCCTCACCCCTGTAAAAGTCAACTTAAAATAATTCAATGCTACCAAGTATTTTTATAATGCTTTTGCTTCTCCATCTCTTTATTTTTTTTTTAATTCTAAACTGAGGGGAGATTTCATTACACTGACTGCTCAATAAAATTATCAGAAGATAAGACCTTCTCTACCTTTTGTTCAGGTGCCAGATCAGTTATACAGAGATGGTTTTGTGGAGAGCCTATTTCTAAAACACAGATTTTAATGTCAAGGAAAATGATGAAGCCAAATTAGGTGAAGTGCGTATTTTTTTCTTAAACCTCAAAACTTGCTTTTAGTCTCTAAACAGGGATGTTTATTTCATTACATAAATTTAACTTCAATAAACTAAAACTTGAACTCCAACAAACATAATTAAACCACATTATTTTATTGCAAAGGAAAAACATACAGAAACATTAATTTAAAATTTGTAAACTTTCTAAAATGAACAGTATTTATAGATTGAAAAATGGAAAGTTTCACTGTCATAGTTATTTCAAAATATTTGAAAACATTTCATATATATCCACATAAATTACTTCTCCACAAAGTTTTGTTGGGATGTGATGATTGCATCTAGTTCAGTTTTACTTAGAAAAATAGATTATTTTTGTCGGAATCATTTTGGGTTGTTGTTGAGATAGTATACTAATGGAATTCATTTTCATTTGGGTTATTAAAAATGAGCTAAGGTGACACGAATTGAGAAAAGGATGTATGAAAACTGGCAACTAATGGGCCTAACCTATCTAGTAATAAGACTATGAGAATTAAAACAGTGATTCAAAGAAAGCTAACTTTTATTAAGTGCCTCAGTATCAGGCATGATACGGGTGCTTTCCATGTAAATGTACTTGATTGAGCACTCTTAAAACAAAAATGTTAATTCCATACTGCCAAATCTAAAGGGTTTTATGAACATTCTGCAATCTGAACTAAAAATAAAATCACTAATCATTGACCTAAGAATAAATTGAAAAATAAAATGAAACTATTGTATTTACAGAATTAGGAAAAGCTTTCAATTTGGCTGTGGAAGGACAGCTTTGTAATCCTTAATGACACATGTACAGATATTCACATAATAAATCTTAAGATACCTATGTGACGAAGTATATATATTAAAATATATAAACATCTGAGGCTACCAGTTAAGACTAACACAGTTTGAATACAGAGATCCAGCATTTTATTCTTCCTTGGACAACATCTTCCTATTTGGGAAAAATTACTCTGGATTTTGGCTTTGTAACATTTTTGGCTTTTCAACGTATTTGCCCATCAGGGATTTTTAGAGCTTTTCAAGTGTTTCATTGTTTCTCAACATATTTCAACTCATTAAACCTTTCTCAGACTTTCCCCTGGGCATACATGTCAACACCAGTTCATTTCCCAACCCAGGGTACACGTGAGTTCTTCTGTTCCAAGAACCTTCAACCTGGGCACAATACATTGAGGGCAAAGCAACATTTGACATGAAAATTCAGTACTGTGGAGAACCATCCCAGCCGCAGGTTGGATGCCATTAATTTCCTCACCAAGAAGGTGTCCTGAGAAGTCAACTGTTGCAATAAAAAAAAGAATTTCTCCAACTTTCAAATACTACCTTTTCAGAAAATACTTCTACAGACTTGTGTTCATAGCTTACATAGCTGCTATGCAATCAAGGTGAAACAGCAATCAACAGAGTAAACATGTGTCTGACCTGAGTTATCAACCCATGAATCTTCCATGGATTCTCAATTTTCAAACGTTTGGAATGCACTGAACTGCACTCAACACTAAACGGTGCCACAGAGACCGTACCAGCACTGAGGACTGCGATCAGCTCAGGTTGTCACTGTGGTCATCAGTCACGATTCAGCAGAACTGGAGGGAAATGCTAAAGTCACCGAATAGAATTCCAAAGAACAGAATTTACATTATTACCCAGGATCGACACGCTAAATTACAAACACACAGACAAAACTAAATAACATCTGATGTTAGTAGAGAGAAATCCAGTCAGCCTGAAGGGTTTTTGTTTTTCTGTTTTTTAATGTCACAATTTTTGGGTTGGGATTTTTGTTTTGAGAGAAATAAGCTTAGTCTAGAAATAGGAATTGATTTCTTCTCCATTAAGTCAATGAGTGATGAGTATCTGTCTGTAAATGTTAAAGACCACCACAGATGTTATTGCTGCTACGTACTTGGAGACAGGGAAATTTTACGGAGGCTTTAATATGAAAATGTATTTTTGTGTAATAGTCCCTGCGGTCTTAATATTTTGTTTTCCAAGATCTTAACTCCCCTTCCTAGCCTCCCAAAACACTTATCAACAAAATGTATGGAAAACATGGTCAGGATGAAATTCAACAGAAAAATACAATTTACCACTTATTGTGGGAGGATATGTATATTTTTAAAAAGGTTAGTAACTAATTATAATTTCCTTAATAAAGGTGAAAGTACCAAATTTCAAGACGACAATTATAACTTATTTAAGTCTTTCATAAAGATTTTTCTTGTTTCCAGTCCGTGGAAAAACCCACCCTTTGGGGATTAAACCTTTGAGAAAAACTGAAGTGTACAGTATAATCCTAAAATAATGTAGCAATTACTTTATGAAAGTCTTTACATCAATAAGAAAAAATGACCCTTGGGATAACAGGAAAAGTAAAGAACAAAATTAATATAAGGAACTTCAAAGGTGACATCACTTGGACTTCTCCAGAACTCAATTTTGTCCTATATTGTTCAGGTCTGAGTTAAAAGAACCTGTGAATACAATTGTTTACATTCATTTTTGTTTTTGTGAAAAGGAAAATTCTGTTTCATTTACCTAAGATTTGAAATGTTTCTCTCCCTCCTCCATTCTCTCCTTTTTAATTGATAATAAACTTCTATAATATGTCAATAAATTGCAGTTCATAAGCCCTTCATGGGTACATGTGTCTTGCACATTCTAGCCCACCAAGGAGCATTTCCAACATGCCTGTTTTTTTCTTTAATGCTCTACCCTTTAGCTATCTTGTTTAGAAAGAAGTTGTAGAAGGAGGAGGAAGCTTCAATGATCTCACTTCTCAGTTTTAATCATTTGAAACTACGACTCATTGGAGAATGATGATTGATAGTCTGCCTATCAGCACACAGTTGAGTTTATCTACTAATTACTGAGAAATTAAGAATAGCAGCCAAAGAAATGAAGAGCCCCCTGGCAGAGCCAAACATACTGTGCCCAGAAGAAAGAGATTATTGTGAGAGTCATCTAACGCTTTGACTTGTTTTATGCTTAGGAAGTATTTCAAGTTTGCAGAAATGAAAAACAGCAGAAGTCTTCTTTGATTTTCAAATTTGATGTCCAAAAATGAAGGCATTTATGTTTGGCCTCATATCTAAATTATTACTTAGAACTTTAAAAATGCCAGCTTTGCTAATAGTTCTTCCAAGAATCAGGTTTTCCTTCTCCTCTCCGAGTGGCTCACAGTGGCTAAAGTTCAGGCTTTCTAGGATCTTTGATCCTCAGTCCTGTTAAACAAGATAATGTCATCCTCGAATCCTGGGGTTGAACATTCCACATTCTCTAGTAAGACATATTTGTCTTCGTTGCCATTCAGAGAGAAGACTTCCTTCTGGGTAGTGGATGTCAGGTCACTCCAGGTAATGTCAGTGTTTTTAAAAGCATGTAGAAGGAAGATGCCATTGATAATGGTGAAGAACCCACTCAGGGTCCCAATGATATCTCCAGCTTTCATGCCATACCATTCTTGGAATAAGATGGCAGAGCAAGTCACTACCATGGACGTGAAGAACACATAATAAATGGGAGTCACAAGAGATGTATTGAAGGTGTCTAGTGCCTTGTTGAGATAGTTAATCTGTGTCGTCACTGAAAGCACAAGTACAGCCAGCAAAACAAAGACCAGGGGATGCTTGTAAACTGGCTTCCATGCCAAGAGTTCCTTAATGGCAATCCCCAGGCCCTTGACAGAAGACACTGAAAATGCTCCAATCAATGAACAGATTGAAATATAGACCAATATATTGGTCTGTCCTTTCTTGGGAGCCACAATCAAAATCAGCACCAAGGAGATCACAGTTACGATCACAGCAAAGGAGATAAATCCTGTTAGGAGGAGAAAAGAATTAAACTTCTGAAAACGCTAATAGGATTTGTGAAATCTTGTTAGTTATGGAGCATGGGTGTGTTCTAGAAAGAGAAGTGAGATTAACTTAAAAACAGCAGTAACAACAGTTTGCCGCATAGCTCTCAGTATTTCACAACGGACTTTCACAGACATATCATCTGAACCTCAGAGGTAACACTGTGAGGTACAGCAGAGACTGACTTTTTATTTCAGAGGGAGGAAGATGCTGTTTGGGTTGGAGTGTAAGTCTTTGGCTTCTCCCAACCCCATCCCTTCCTTTCATTCTGCAGAGGGGAAGCTTCGACACAAAATAAAGTCGTGTCACATTTTCAGAAGACTTGAGCTACTCAGTCAAACCTGAGTGCCTCTCAACCCACAGCTAGGCTTGAAGGAAGCATATTACAACATTATTACATATTTATTTGATGAGGAGAGAAAGTGGAGCAGAATTTGAGTGTTTCTTTCGGTTGAATCACAAACCTGGGTCTCTCAATTTCATTTCCATTTCATGCAGAGAAGTGACTTCCTCTTCCTGTGGGGCATGGATAACCATCACAGTTGACCCCAATATACTTAATATGCAGCCTATTTTCCCATGAATGTTCAAGTGCTCATTTAAAAAATAGGAAGACAGTATTGCACTGTGGAAAGAGCAAAAAAAAAAAATCACTCTGGTTTGATAACCTTTTGATTCCACTGCAGCTCAAGGCATCACACTATGGTACATGCTACTCTGTATCCCAGTCAACTAGTTTGAAATCACTGTGTGTTACTGAAAAACCTGATTAGTTTTGAAACTCAGACATGATGGTTAAGTTAACCTGCTTAACTGCTTCTGTATCTGAAAAGTTGTAATAGGCATTCTGTACCCCTGTAATTTTCTCATAACCTTCTAAGAAGTCCCACTCAGTTCATTTTCAATTTTCCCACCTTCTCCTGTAAAGCCAAACACAATGGAAGATCTTTTACATCTTATTGGCATGATACATTTAGAACATGTGTACTCATGAAAACTTCAAAGAAAGATACATGCCTAAAGAAGAATTACTCTTCTCAGGGCTCATATTTCGCTAGGAGACACAAGTACAACCACATAGGTTGTCAAAATATTAAAATATTTCCTTACCAGCTGCTATTGCCCTGGTACGTTGACCTATCCAATGCTTCCACTACTTTGGTTGCCATGGCCTCAGGAAGTTCTAGGTTGGCACCACCGCGGACACCAGATTATGCCATCCTGCTGCTCTACCAGTAGGTCTGCTGTGGCACCTGCTCCTAATGCCCTGGCACTCCCGCCAGGGCATTATCAGTATCCATTTGCACCCAAAACTGTGGTCAATTACCAGCTGCTTTCTTAGAGTCGTCCCCATGTGGCCACTCATGAGGACTGCAGCCTCCGCAAAAATACTGCTATGACCAATAGCTATCATTCATCCAGTAGACAGGGTTCTAGCGCTTTACGTGTATTGACTCACTTAATTCTTCTAACAGTCCTACAAAGAAGGTGAAAAGAACTGGGTAGGCCAAGTCATAAGCTTTCTTCTAGGGGTTGATAGGGAACAGAGATAAAAGGAAAAGAAAAAGACGACAAACAAAACAGTTGCTTAGCTACAAAAAATAAGAGTTCGTGGGCTCATGGAACACACTCATTTGGGATCATAATAAAGACCAACTCAGAAATATCAGATCCCCAGTCTATTGACAGGAAAATGATTCCTGTGTCCAGTACTAAAGGAAACTAAGACGTCTCCAAACAGAAGTATCCAGCAGACAATGCAGGACTTTTAGTGAGAGTTGAAATTTAACCCAAACCCCATGCTTTTTTAAAGGCCTCTGATAACCACAGTCATTAACCACTATGACAACAGAAAGCATGAAAAGGGCTGTGGCAATTTGTTCAGGTGAGAGTGGGGAAAAAAATCTGCTAGGCTTTGTTGAATGGTCACAAATAAACCAGACAATTACTTTATGTTTAGCAGGAAACCAGGTACACTTTCTTACAGGTTTTCTAAATAACAAGACAATGTATCTCCTATTTTTACTGCTATTTATTGTGTAGTCTCAAATTATTTTTGTGATTTTCAAAATTTTTGTTTTGCAATATGCTTAGCAATATACTTCCTGTGTTAAGTTTATCATGGTGTTAAAATCCCTACAGGAGCAAAGCTCCTTACTGCTCACTATGAATGACTATCTAGACAGGCCTTTCTTAATTATGCCCTAGAAGCAAAGGGAATGTGCTGATACCACAAACAACATAAATTCTGTCCACTTGCATGCATCACCACTTTTTGCATGATGTACGCACTTAACTCTCAGTGAGAAGCTTATGCTCATCAGTCTCTACAAGTTTTTTCAAGTAATATGTTTTAAAACTTCTGAGGACCTTAATTACTCACAGAATAAATGGAAATTCCTTAAGATTTCTAGTTTACCTTTAGCTATCTTGTCACTCATCCTTTTGCCATAGAGACAGGTTTTTCCTGTTAACAAAAGGTTTCTGAAGTGTGTCCTATTCAGGGTGATGCAGTGTCTCAGGATTTGTTTTGTATTATATAATATTTACATTTTGACCACATTTGTAAATTTGCAACTGCTTACGTACCTTATGAGAACACTCAGAGCGCCCAGTGGGGTGACCAAGGTGGCAGGTGCAAAAGCATAAGCTGCAAAATTCGCAGCCTCTCCTGCTCCCACTGGAAAGCAAGCAGCAGGATTAATACAGAAGATGGGCTTATTTATCCTCAGAGAAAAACAAACGACACATGGAAAGCAGTAGACTTTTTCTGATAGATGCTGATAGATCTAGCAAAAAGGAATAATTTAACCTCTTTTATGGAAGGTAGAGATGGTTTGGTATTAAAAGGATGCAGATAACCACTTGCAGCAGCCAAGACATGGAAACAACCTAAATGTCCATCGACAGATGACTGGATAAAGAAGTTGTGGTATATTTAGACAACGGAATACTACTCAGCCATAAAAAGAATAATACCATTTGCAGCAACATGGATGGCCCTGGAAAATGTCATTCTAAGTGAAGCAAGCCAGAAAGAGTAAGAAAAATACCATATGATATCACTCATAAGTGGAATTTTAAAAAAAGACAAATGAATTTATATATAAAACAGAAACAGACTCACAGACACAGAAAAAGACTCATAGACATAGAAAACAAACTTATGGTTACCAGGGGGGAAAGGGATGGGAAAGGATAAATTGGGAGTTTGAGATTTGCAGGTACTGACTGGTATATATAAAATCGATAAACAAGTTTATACTGTGTAGCACAGGGGACTATATTTGAT